GGCACGTCAGGCTTTTACCTTTGATATACCTCTGAAGAGTTTCGAGAATTTCACTATTCACGGAGCCCGGCCATGGGCCCGGCTCGTCTGGTGCTTGCCTGGTCAACCAGGCTGTTGCTGCTGGAGGCCCGCTGCCCCACATATCCATCAGCCTGGTTGATCTGGCACCTGATAAAGATACTTGCCCAGTTTCCTCTTAAAGACTTCTACACTTTCTCCAGCCAGTTTTTCGATATCTTATGGTAAGATGTTGAATAGTCTGGGACCCCGGATGTTGATACAGTGTTCCCTTATTGCCTCCACCGCACCCCTGCTCCTCACTGGTTTTATTTTGCACTTCCTCCCATCTCTCTTAATCCAGTATATTATGGCAGTGTGCAGATTTGGGACCAAGCCCTCGAGTACCTTCCAGGTATATATTATCATGTTTCTTTCCTCCGCTCCAATGAGTACATGTTCAAGACTTGAAGGATTTCCCAGTAATATAGATGCTTTACTGGCTCAATGTGAGCCGTAAACGATCTCTGTATTTGTTCCAGCTCTGATATTTCTCCTGCCTTGAACGGGGCCGTCAGCACTGAGCAATATTCTAAGTGAGGGAGCACTAGCGATTTGAAGAGTGTCATCATTGGCATTATTTTCCTTGTTTTGAAGGTTCTCAATACACACCCCGTCATCTTCCTGGCAGTCGTGATCTTTGTCTTATTATGTTTTTCGAAAGAAAGGTCAGCTGACATCATTCCCAGGTCTTTTACGTGTTCCTTTCTAGGCTGGAATATTGTTGTACATTAACATCTCCGTTCAAAGCAGGTGAAATTGCAGACCTAGTGTGTCCAGAGAACCTTTACTGCACATGTAAGTTCCATCAAACACTTCAAGTACTGGGAACGCTTGGACGAACTTGACTTGTACTCGCTGGAACGCAGGCGAGAGAGAGATCCTAGAATCTGCACACAGAAATCACTCCCTACGAAAGTAAGAGACTGGGCAGGCGATGTAAAATACCCCCAATGAAAAGTAGGGACGCTATTGGTACACTAAGAGAAACTACAGTAAGTGTCCGGGGCCCAAGACTGTTCAACAGCCTCCCACCATACATAAGGGGAATTACCAATAAACCCCTGGCTGCCTTCAAGAGGGAGCTGGACAGATACTTGAAGTCGGTGCCGGATCAGCTAGGCTGTGGTTCGTAAGTTGGACTACGTGCGGCCAGCAGTAACAGCCTGGTCGATCAGGCCCTGCTCCACCGGGAGGTCTGGTGGTGGACCGGTCCACGGGGGCGTTGATCCCCGGAATACCCTCCAGGTAGACTCCAGGTATACGTTTAAAGATATTTTTTTTTCATATATGTTACTGTAAAAATTAATAATTTTGTACCAAAATAACTTCAGAACACTTACCTAACCTTATTATGCGCTTGTTATAATAAGATAAGGTAAGTTTTCTAAGGTTCTTTTGGTACAAAATTATTAATTTTTACATTAACATAAATGAAAAAAAAATATTAAACTTACAAGAGAAAATTTTAGAAAGGACTTAATTTTAAATGAGTTCTTACTCATTGACCAATTTTACCTATTCGGCACGACATACACACACACATTTATTTTATTATTTTATTATCACACTGGCCGATTCCCACCAAGGCAGGGTGGCCCGAAAAAGAAAAACTTTCACCATCATTCACTCCATCACTGTCTTGCCAGAAGGGTGCTTTACACTACAGTTTAAACTGCAACATTAACACCCCTCCTTCAGAGTGCAGGCACTGTACTTCCCATCTCCAGGACTCAAGTCCGGCCTGCCGGTTTCCCTGAACCCCTTCATAAATGTTACTTTGCTCACACTCCAACAGCACGTCAAGTATTAAAAACCATTTGTCTCCATTCCCTCCTATCAAACACGCTCACGCATGCCTGCTGGAAGTCCAAGCCCCTCGCACACAAAACCTCCTTTAACCCCCTCCCTCCAACCTTTCCTAGGCCGACCCCTACCCCGCCTTCCTTCCACTACAGACTGGGTACACTCTTGAATCCACTCTGTTTTCGCTCCATTCTCTCTACAAAGTCCGAACCACCTCAACAACTCTTCCTCAGCCCTCTGACAACAGTTTTTGTAATCCCGCACCTCCTCCTAAATTCCAAACTACGAATTCTCTGCATTATATTTTACACCACACATTGCCCTCAGACATGACATCACTGCCTCCAGCCTTCTCCTCGCTGCAACATTCATCACCCATGCTTCAACACCCATATAAGAGCGTTGGTAAAACTATACTCTCATACATTCCCCTCTTTGCCTCCAAGGACAAAGTTCTTTTTCTCCACAGACTCCTAAGTGCACACTCACACCTTTTTCCCCCCCATCAATTCTATGATTCACCTCATCTTTCATAGACCCATCCGCTGACACGTCCACTCCCAAATATCTGAATACATTCACCTCCTCCATACTCCCCTCCCTCCAATCTGATATCCAATCTTTCATCACCCAATCTTTTTGTTATCCCCATAACCTTACTCTTTCCTGTATTCACTTTTAATTTCTTTCTTTGCACACCCTAACCAAATTCATCCACCAATCTCTGCAACTTTTCTTCAGAATCTCCCCAAAAGCACAGTGTCATCAGCAAAGAGCAACTGTGACAACTCCCACTTTATGTGTGATTCTTTATCTTTTAAAAATCCACCCTCTTGCCAAGACCCTCGCATTTACTTCTCTTACAACCCCATTTATAAATATATTAAACAACCACGGTGACATCAAACGTCCTTGTCTAAGGCCTACTTTTACTGGGAAATAATTTCCCTCTTTCCTACATACTCTAACTTGAGCCTCACTATCCTCATAAAAAACTCTTCACTGCTTTCAGTAACCTACCTCCTACCCATACCCTGCAACATCTGCCCCACTGCCCCCCTATCCACCCTGTCATACCCTTTTCCAAATCCATAAATGCCACAAAAACTTCTTTAGCCTTATCTAAATACGTTCACTTTTATGTTTCACTGTAAAACACCTGGTCCACACACCCCCTACCTTTCCTAAAGCCTCCTTTTTTCATCTGCTATCCTATTCTCGTCTTACTCTTAATTCTTTCAATAATAACTCTACCATACACTTTACCAGGGATACTCAACAGACTTATCCCCCTATAATTTTTTTCATCTCTCTTTTTGTCCCCTTTGCCTCTATACAAAGGAACTATGCATGCTCTCTCCAATCCCTAGGTACCTTACCCTCTTCCATACATTTATTAAATAATTGCACCAACCACTCCAAAACTATATCCCCACCTGCTTTAACATTTCTATCTTTATCCCATCAATCCCGGCTGCATTATCCCCTTTCATTTAACCTACTGCCTCACGAACTTCCCCCCACACTCACAACTGGCTCTTCCTCACCCTACAAGATGTTATCCTCTTGCCCTATACACGAAATCACAGCTTCCCTATTTCATCAACATTTAAAATTCCTCAAAATATTCCCTCCATCTTCCCAATACCTCTAACTCTCCATTTAATAACTCTCCTCCTCCCATTTTTAACTGACAAATCCATTTGTTCTCTAGGCTTCCTTAACTTGTTAACTCACTCCAAAACTTTTTCTTATTTTCAACAAAATTTGTTGATAACAAACTCACCCACTCTTCATTTGCTCTCTTTTTACATTGCTTCACTACTATCTAACCCTCTCTCTTTTTCTCCATATACCTTTCCCCCCTTGCATCTCGCTTCTACTTTGTAAAAACTTCTCATATGCTAACTTTTTTCTCCCTTACTACTCTCTCTACATCATTTCCCCCAATCGCTCCTCTTCCCCCCCGCACCCACTTTCCTGTAAAACCACAAACTTCTGCTGAACACACTAACACTACATTTTTAAACCTACCCAAAACCTCCTCGATCCCATTGCCTATGCTCTCATTAGCCCATCTATCCTCCAATAGCTGTTTATATCTTACCCTAACTGCCTCCTCTTTTAGTTTATAAACCTTCACCTCTCTCTTCCCTGATGCTTCTATTCTCCTTGTATCCCATCTACCTTTTACTCTCAGTGTAGCTACAACTAGAAAGTGATCTGATATATCTGTGGCCCCTCTATAAACATGTACATCCTGAAGTCTACTCAACAGTCTTTTATCTACCAATACATAATCCAACAAACTACTGTCATTTCGCCCTACATCATATCTTGTATACTTATTTATCCTCTTTTTCTTAAAATATGTATTACCTATAACTAAACCCCTTTCTATACAAAGTTCAATCAAAGGGCTCCCATTATCATTTACACCTGGCACCCCAAACTTACCTACCACACCCTCTCTAAAAGTTTCTCCTACTTTAGCATTCATGTCCCCTACCACAATTACTCTCTCACTTGGTTCAAAGGCTCCTATACATTCACTTAACATCTCCCAAAATCTCTCTCTCTCCTCTACATTCCTCTCTTCTCCAGGTGCATACACGCTTATTATGACCCACTTTTCGCATCCAACCTTTACTTTAATCCACATAATTCTTGAATTTACACATTCATATTCTCTTTTCCTCCTTCCATAACTGATCCTTCAACATTACTGCTACCCCTTCCTTTGCTCTAACTCTCTTAGATACTCCAGATTTAATCCCATTTATTTCCCCCACCGAAACTCCCCTACCCCCTTCAGCTTTGTCTCGCTTAGGGCCAGGACATCCAACTTCTTTTCATTCATAACATCAGCAATCATCTGTTTCTTGTTATCCGCACTACATCCACGTACATTTAAGCATCCCAGTTTTATAGTTTTTTATAAAGTTTTTTCACACACGTATATATATATATATATGTATATATATATATATATATATATATATATATATATATATATATATATATATATATATATATATATATATATATATATATATATATATAAACAAACCATCACAGGCAAGTGTCTATGGGCAAGTGCCTTTGAAAACTGGTCACTAGAAGAGAGGAAGACTCACATAGGCCTTAGCTAAGCTGTACATGTTGTCGAGGATGGAGGCCAGAGTGTCATCAATGAAGTTCTTGGCCATAGTCTTGTTGGACATCTTACTTAGCAGCTTCTTCTGCGCCTTCAGGCTGATGTCACGCGCTCGAAACGAGTCCCCCATCCTGCAAGACACATCACGAGATGTCATTACATTTTAACAACAATATGAGGACAGAATAACACTACAATAACCCTGACTAGTATATACATACAGTGTGTAAACAAGACATAATGCAGGTAACAGTATTTTAGAGGACCAGTGTGACTTTGTAAATGGTCCAAGTCGGACCGAAACGTCGTCGTAAGCTCCTCTCTTCTATGTGCGAGTTATCTGTATATAGGGAACCAAGCTCTGATATTTTTCCTGCTGTGGTTAAGCACTTGTGACTCCAGTGTGAAGACTCCTCCCGGGTCACCTGTGATTACCTGTGACCTGTTTCGGAAATTTACCTGAACCAGGTCTTTGTTGCATACCTGGTCAACCAGGCTACTGGTGTTGGCGGCCCACTGGCCAGCATATCCATCACAGCCTGCTTGATTGTCACCAGATGAAGCTAGAAAGTGTCTGAGTTACACACAACATTGCCAACACTTTTGAGTTTGGTCTCAATACAGTGTTAGGATTCTCCGCTCCGCACAACACACGTGGAGATGAATGGTTTAAAATATCGACAAGATAAAAAAAATACATTTTGTCCATAAGAACATAACAGAGAAGGAACACTACAGCAGGCCCACTGGCCCATGCGAGGCAGATCCACGTCCCCCACCAGCCCAAGCCAATGCCCCAACCTAGTCAGGTCACGTATCTACTCATGTGGACATTAAAATGGTATAAAAGTTGATAGAAGCAGAAGAGACTTGAAGACGATGTAATCAGTCCATCACCCTTAAAGTTTTGAGGTGGTCAGTCCCTCAGTCTGGAGAAGAGCATTGATACAGACCTGCAATCAACTTCGACAACCTCTACTAGTGAGAACGGTTGGATTTGAGAGGGACCTGACCTCCCAACATCTGCGTTCTTACTTCTACTAGTGACCTACGTCTCATCTCCTGGCGCTATATAAGGCTCCATCCTGTCACTTCAACTCCATATTGTTTCAGACTATGGAACAATGCTCTTCTCCAGACTGAGGGACTGACCACCTCAAAACTTTAAGGGTGATGGACTGATTACATCGTCTTCAAGTCTCTTCTGCTTCTATCAACTTTTCTGTACTCGACTGAAGAAGCCTACTGTGTAGGCGAAACGTTTCGAAATAAAGATACCTAACTGTTGCATATGTGTCTTACTTAACAACATATACTCATGTACTCTGTGTGGGCGAAACGTTGTCAATAAAGGATTATATTATACTGCATTTGTGTCTGTTTCCACAACACACGTGACTTGACCTGACCGTGACTTTCTCTTCACGTTTTCTCCTGACCTGTCTGCTGTAATTCTCTCTACCTCACCTTCCTTCTGACTTTCTCTTTACCTTCTGACCTGCAATCTGGAACTTTTATTTTTGTGTTAGGTAAAAGGACACAAGTGAAGCTAATGCAACATTTCACTGTGGCAACGTTTCGCTCTCCAGGAGCTTTGTCAAGCAGTTATAAACAATACCTAGACAGTTGTGATGAATGGTTTGAAAAACCGACAAGTGTCTCAATCTTCAATACCTAGACACAGACGTTAAACCCCGCGGGTCCGGGGGGCTAGGGGGGGGAGGCATTACATACCTGTACCACTATTACTGTACCTACTACTGCTACCACTACTACTGACTACTCACACCACTACTACTACCATACTACTACTACTAAACTATTTTATTATGCCTTGCACTTCACTTTAATATATTCAGTAAACCCTTGAATGTCGTGATTAATCCATTCCAGAAATTCTGCCGAAATTCAAAATTCCGATTTTAAAAACCCTTTTTTCCCATAAAAAATAAGTAAATAAAATTTAATCCTTTCCCAGACACCCAAAAAAAAAAAAAATTTTTTTTTTAATTTAAAATTATTTTTTATCTACACAAAAAACATGAGACGTGAAGAAAAAATAATAAAAGTTTACATTACCTTTATTGTAAGTTGTTGTGGGGGAGCGGGGGGAAGAGTTCTATTTTTTGGAAGGGAAACCCCCTTTCCCATAAAGACTTTGGGTACTAAGCCCTTTTTTCAGGGTTATTCCCTTTTTGTTTTTTAATGCCCTGGGAAACAGTTTGAGAGTCAGGGACCCCTGTCGCTTAAAAATTATTTCAGAAGGGTCTGTTTCTGGTTTCTTTAAAATTTTTCCCAAAATGGAAAACGACATTCTTGGCATGTCGCTACACTTCCTGCAACAGCTTTTTCAGGTGATGTTCCTCCCTAATGTTTTATCCCCAGTCTACATTGCACACATCCCTTAATCTCGAAGGAAGCAAATTTTTTTTCCCCCTCTTTCCTCCTCCCTGAAACAATTTCCCGAGCTGGGTTGTTCTGTTGCGATTAAGGTCTAGCGCCCTTTATTTGTCCTCCACTAACTCTTCCCCTCCCCGCCAAATCTCCAACCCCCATGCTTCCCCGTGCCCAATGATTCCAAATGGCATTGGGTTGTCAGGGTCGCTCAAACCCTTCAAAACTTTGTCGAGGCAATACTGGCCCAAATTTTTTTCCCGAGTTGATCGTCCTGGAAGTCACTCCCTGCCCAGCCTTACCTATAAGGTTTATTCAATGGAAGATAATGAAGTGATCTTTCCAGAACTCTCTTAGGGTCAATTCAGAGTCTGAGGTTATGTTAAAGCACCTTTGAAACACTGCTTTGGTGTAGTTTTTTTTGTAGTTTGAAATGATCTCCTTCACCATTTGCTCTTCCAAGTCTGGAGGATGAGTAGGAACAATGTATTACCAGGAGGCGTTTCATACTACCGCCGATTTCTAGGCCAAATCACGAAAATCAAGCCAATATTTTGGCGAAAAAAGTCGCCGATTTCCAAAATTCACGATATTCATGGGGGACGAAATTCAAGGGCTCACTGTATATACCCTTTGTGTCCCAGTATTGTCTGTTAGAGCTTGATAAAGCTCCTGGAGAGCGAAACGTTGCCACAATAAAATGTCACATAACTTGCACTTATGTCACTGTACCTAACATTGTCGGTAATTCTACCAACATTATTTCAATGTTATTTTTATCTTGTCTTTCAATCTGCTATGTTTTTCAGCTGTCCTGTCCGCCGATTTTCTTCCTTCTCTCTCACTCTGCTCCACCACGATGGACAGAAATGTCTGAAGTTCTCTCTCCATAATGAAGGTAAGTCGTGATCTGAGAATAAGATGCTTGTGTATAATTATAGAATCTTTATCGAGGCAACGTTTCGCCATCCAGCGGCTTCTTCAGTCCAATACAGAAAAGAATAGAGGAAGATGAAGTGATGGTGGTTTAGGAAGAGACGTGAGTAAACACCTGGAGAACGTCGCATATATTTACAAGACAACACCTGTTTATATAATGTGTTTTTAACCTCTGTGTGCTAGAAGTGGTCAAGGTCCCAGGACAGAAACGTTTTCTAATATGTCCTAGTGTTTGTATTTCTAAACCAATTTGTCTATCTATTGCCAAGGTTTATGAGGACTCGTCAGTCGTGACGGGTTGAACGCAACTCCAGCCTGAGGGACTGATTACCCCAATACTCATTTTCCTCTGTTATTCTCCGTATTGGAAAAATAAACACAAATGCAGTATAATGCGATCCGACATTGACAACGTTTCGCCCACACAGTGGATTTTATCAAGTCCACTGTGTGGGCGAAACATTTCCTCAGTAAAGACTCCCAGATGTTACACAAGGGTCTCAGTCTTTAAATGAGGCACTCGTGTAACATTATAGTTGTGAACTGTTCCAGCCACAGTGTTGTTTCAGGAACAGTATTGTTCCAGCCACAGTGTTGTTCCAGCCACAATATTGTGACTTATTTTACAGTTGCAAAGGTTTGTCACCAGGGAGATGCACAGTGAGGAGAGGTTGAAAGCACTAACAGTAACAGCCTGGTTGATCAGACCCTGATCCACCACGAGGGCCTGGTCTCAGACCGGGCAGCAGGGGCGCTGATCCCCGAAACCGTCTCCAGAGAACTGAACCTGGCCACCTCGGGAGGAAAGGAGAACAAGGGAAAACAAGACAACGAACTGACAGGTTAGACAAGTGAAGACGATGTGAAATAACAGGATCACAACCAAGAGAACGCAGGTGGAAGCTGGACACACTGACGAGTCATAGAGCTGTTAGGAAGTTTACCTGGAGTTTACCTGGAGAGAGTTTCGGGGGTCAACGCCCCCGCGGCCCGGTCTGTGACCAGGCCTCCTAAGCTGTGGTGAAGGCAAACTTGATACACACATTGGCACCCAAAACCTTGCAGGCCTTCTCTACTTTTCAGCTACGGTTTGTGACATTATTTCTTTCCGGTACACAGCTTTAAGGCAAGATATGATAAGACGTAAGAGAGGAAAAAAAAACAGTAATGTTAATCATAGTAACGTAGGAGGGGCCAGGAGCTGAAATTCAATCATCACAAACACAACTCGGAGAGTATTATTATATTCAAGGCATACAATACAGACAAGTTGATGAATATGACACAGGTGCAACACCTGGGTGTCTTTATTGATGAATAAGACATGTGCAACACCTGGGTGTCTTTATTGATGAATAAGAACATGTGCAACACCTGGGTGTCTTTATTGATGAATAAGACACATGTGCAACACCTGGGTGTCCTTTATTGATAGAATAGACAACATGTGCAACACCTGGGTTCTTTATTGATGAATAGACACATTGCAACACCTGGGTGTCTTCAAATGAGAATAAGACATGTGCAACACCTTGGTGTCTTATTGATGAAGACAACAAAATTGCAACACCGGGTGTCTTTATTGAATGAAGACACATGGTGCAACACGCTGGGTGTCTTTAATTTATGAAGACATGTGGCAACATCCTAGGGTGTCTTTATTGATGAATAAGACACATGTGCAACACCTGGGTGTGCTTTATTGATTGAATAAGACACATGTGCAACACCTGGGTGTCATTATTGATGAATAAACAGGTGCAACACCTGGGTGTCCTTATTGGATGGAATAAAAAAG